ATGGCCCCATCTCCAGAGTGAAAGCAGCTCAGCTGGTACAACTGCAGGGCCCTGATGCTCATGGCGTGTTCCTGGTGCGGCAGAGCGAGACACGGCGTGGGGAATACGTGCTCACTTTCAACTTCCAAGGCATAGCCAAGGTATGGAGTGGGGCAGGGCAGGCGGGACCGTGCCTCCTCTCCCCACTGGAGTTCAGGGCCCTAGAGGGACAGTCCGAGCCCACCGTCCTCTCCTCCCCCAGCATCTGCGCCTGTCACTGACCGAGAGGGGCCAGTGCCGTGTGCAGCACCTTCACTTTCCCTCGGTCGTGGACATGCTCCACCACTTCCAGCGCTCACCCATCCCGCTCGAGTGCGGCGCCGCCTGTGACGTCCGGCTCTCCAGCTACGTGGTAGTTGTCTCCCAGCCACCAGGTCTGAGCCTACTGCCCTTTGCTAAAGGGGATGGTGGGCACAGGGAAACTGGGTGAGGGTAGAGGCTTCCTGCAGACCCAGGGGTACAGGGATCTTGTCCTGTGTCCCGTCAGCATTTGCATCAACACTGACGGTATGGTCTCTTTTGGTCACTTGTTCTAGGTTCCTGCAACACTGTCCTATTCCCTTTCTCCCTCCCTCGCTGGGATTCACAGTTGGGCCTTCCCCACCTTAGCTCCTCTGGTTGTCCCCAGGGGCTCAGCCCAGAGGGTCTCCCCGGGCGATCCTCACCCCCAGAGCAGATCTTCCACCTGGTGCCTTCGCCCGAAGAACTGGCCAACAGCCTACAGCACCTGGAGCTTGAGCCTGTGAGTCGAGCCCGGGACTCGGACTATGAAATGGACTCATCCTCCCGGAGCCACCTGCGGGCCATAGACAATCAGTATACACCTCTCTGACAGAGGAATTCCAGGCCTGAACAGATGCCCTTGAGGAGCACAGGCAGAAGTGTGAACTTGTGAATGTAATGATCTTTCCTTCCTTCCAGAGAGATTTAAGGGACACTGTTAACTGCTCGTGCCAGTTTGGACGTGACCCTTCTATTAGGCCTGTTGAAGGGCCCTCCTGTAAGTTTTATCTATCACCTGGCTTTCTCCTTATTGTTTACAGATGTAGTTCTTGTTAGAGGATGCCACTAGCTCCTGCCCAGGGTCCCTGTGCCCAGTCCCCATTAGAGAAAGGAGTTGGGGTGAGGGCCAGGGCTGGCAGTGGAAACTTGTTCTCTTTTTCACTGACACGGTCACAGCTGATGACAGACTTTCTACAGGAAGAGGGGTCATCAGGAAGACCAGAACACTAACAAGCCCTGGATTCTCATGGTTCTCCTATCTACTGTCAGTCCATGTGGCAGGTCTGTTGTTTCCACGCCACAGATGACCACATCTAATCTGCTTCTACTCTCAGCTTTAGGACAAAAGCTCTGTCAGAGGGACAAGCTAAAGGTCAAAAATGATTTTAAACAAACATTTTACCTCAGACTAATTTCTTTAAAGAATTCAGGTTCAAAACTAAACCATTGCTTATTTCACTGCACTGTTTCAACTAACACCCATGCAATTTTTGTAGTCGGAGACAGCTATGCAAACCCTGCCTGACTAGTTCACGGTCTGAGCCAGCACGCTGGCTTCCTTGTCTACTGCAGTCTCAGGACAGCTACCTGCCGCTAAGTGGCCACTGTCCTTCCCAAATGTCAAGAAGTGAAGTGTGTCACCCTTTCAGGGAAATTCAGGCAATTACTGAAAAATGGAGGGTGGCAAGGAACAGTTCTACCCTGGTGCCTTATGAATAAAAAACTGGATTCTGATTTACAGCAGCTTTACAGTAAGAGTTAAATTAACTGAGGTTGGGGGAAGAACAAGTAAAAAGGGAAGAAGGTCTCCTGGGCGCTTTACAGTAAATCTTTCAGCAACAAGGCTGGCTCTGTGCCCTCCAAGCATCTAATGGCTTATTAAATTATCCCACAAGTGGGTTTTAGGCTCCTTTTTTTGAGCCAAAATGGAAGCTGGGAATCTGGTGCCATAACTATTGAGAAACTCATTTAATAGCCCACATTCAGTGTTCTGCTCCAGCTGGCTACTCCTTCATTGGATGGAGAATGTATCTCCATGCACACACAGCACACACAATCTCCACCACCCAGGGAGGTCCTGAAGTTAAATCTCCATCTATACTCGCTTTCACAAGTGATACAATTCATAGGGGGGCTGCCTCCTCCCAGAACCTTTGGAGGTTCAAAAACAAGGGGGTACTGACAGTGGAGTCAGCTGCTCTTGGGTGCCAGCAGAGCCTTTCAGTACAACCCCCCAGGCTCACTGCAGTGCCTCAATGAGAGGCTAATGAAACCTCAGCCTAAAACTCATAGGACTGCCTGCCTGCCTGGGAGGAGGGTTAGGTCTGCTCCTTTCACTTAGTCTCTGTACTCCAAGAGGTCAGATTTTTGCTTCTAGGCTTCTAGAATTTTCTTGGGATCTTTCAGAGGATGTGGAAAGAGCGCCCTCTGCACCACTTCTTTTTTTTTTTTTTTTTGAGATGGAGTTTCACTCTTGTAGCTCACTGCAACCTCAGCCTTCCTGGTTCAAGCGATTCTCCTGTCTCTTGAGTAGTTGGGATTACACGCATGCATACCATGCTCAGCTAATTTTTATATTTTTAGTAGAAATGGGGTTTTGCCATGTTGGCTAGGCTGGTCTTGAACTCCTGACCTCAGGTGATCCACCTACCTCAGCCTCCCAAAGTGCTGGGATTATAGGTGTGAGCCACCGTGCCTGGCCTGCACCACTTTTGATTTAACTAATTTATTTATTTTGAGACAGAGTTTCACTCTTGTTGTCTCCGTGTCCCAGGTTCAAGTGATTCTCCTGCCTCAGCCTCCCAAGTACTGGGATTACAGGCATACGCCACCATGCCCGACTAATTTTTTTTTTTTTTTTTTTTTAAATTAGAGCTGGGGTTTCACCATGTTGGTCAGGCTGGTCTCGAACTCCTGACCTTGTGATCTGCCCATGTTGGCCTCCCAAAGTGCTGGGATTACAGACGTGAGCCACCATGCCGAGCGCCTGCACCACTTTTAATACCAACACTCCTGGGTGATCATGGACCTTAAAGCAGACCCGCCACTGATCCAGATTTGCAGTCCATTTTTAAGGACACCTGTCTTTATAAAGTCAAGCAGCTTTCTCTGAAAAATGAATGCTAACTAGTGTGAACTGAAAGAGTAAGTAACAGTCTGAACCTTTTTTAAAGAAGAAAGGTTATCATGGAAAGTCACTGGTCCTCCCCTCTGCACAGGACAGGTGTCCAGTAGATAATAAACCAAATTAAGTTCCCTCCCTCCAGCCAGAAGTTAAACACCTGGGATATGACATCTTCACACCAGGAGCACTCATTTCTTAGCAGCTGCTCTGCATACATCTCTCAGGTAGTGCCAAGAGGCACACCAGATACAGCAAACTTAGCAGACTGTAATTAGCCATCTGACTGGCTGCAACGTGCAAGCTCAGATTCTGTGGCAGAGATTTGGAAGGCAACCTCCTCCAGACTGCTAACTTTCTAAACTCATCCAAGTTACCAGCTCAAATACATGCTGACAGAAAACTCTCATGGCACTAGGAAGAAGTGACACTAAGCCAATGCCTTTTCTTTGCGTGGGAGCAGGCCCACCTGATGAAGGGGTGGGCAGCAGTGTGGGGCAGGCACCCCACTGGCTGCAGCTAGCCCACCACAGGCACAGGACAGCACACCCCACCACTCTCCTTCCAGTCCTGACCAGGCCCAGTCAGCAACTTCCACCAAGAGCCATGGCTCAGCGTCAAACTGGACAGTAGGCATCATGATCCCTCCAGTCAGCTCTAATCATAGATTCCACCAGTACAGCTTGACAGCTCCTGGCACCATCACTTCCTTCATCTTTTATTCAACTTTTACAAACTAACAGTCACCAGCACCAAAGAATTAAGTCAACTAACCTGCCTTGAATTTTAGACCAGCAATCCATATGGCTTTATCTGGTATAAATCTTCTGCCTTTGATCATTTCTGGACCGTAAGAAAAAGGAATAGCAATCATTAAAATCTTGGGCCAGAGAACACTATTTTTACATAACAGTTTCTTAACCTAAAATCAAGGCCTTGGACTCTTCCCTGAGGGTTGCCTGAGATTCCTTCATGCTTTCTATTCAGGGCTAAGTCCCTTATTGCAAATGTGTTAGCTCTAACATCACCCACAAGCTAGAGGAACTTGCAAGTATATTAACAAGGACACATCTGACATCCAGTGTTTGGTTATAATATACAGCACATTGTGATAACACAAAGTGGATTCATCTTGTATCATTATAGGCAGAAGGTATTTGGCAAATTTTTATGTATTGTTTTATGTACTGTACAAGTAACTTATTCTTGAATAATGCAAATTTTGCTATAATGTACAAATTGCTATATGTGAATTAAAAAGTTTTCAGAATCTTGATTTGCTGTCACAATATTTAAAACTCTATTAAGACCACGGTTGCTCTATAAAAATCCTTGCCCTTCCCGAATACTTGCCCTTCCCTTTGTCCTCCCCGATGCAATCTGAGAATATTAAATGCTTATGAGTCCATGTCAATAAGCAGCTTTGTACATCTTTTCAGCCTTCCTGCCCTCTGGGTTTCTTCCTTGCAATTTTTTTCTGAGTGTCTCCTGCCCCCTACTGGTAAAATAGAAAGATGCCTGCTAATTAATACTCATTTTGGTTTAGGAGATATTAAAAAGGAAGCTTACAGAATCAGTGTCAGCCCAAGGATGTGGAATTTCAGTGCTGCCCAACTCTGGCCAACCTTCCTCCTCCTGAAGCAGATCTCTAATCCACCAAAGAGAATAGCTCAGTCTTGTCTTTTTCTAGAGATACCTTGAACCAGAACTAAAGGTGAAGAAGAAAAATCATTTGACAGCTACCTTCCGGGACATTCAAAATGCACACTTAGCGCACCTGCTTTGATGTTAAGTATCCTACAATAGAAGTAGCTTATACAGACACACACTAACTTGATCAGTTTTTAAAACTTTTTTTATTTTTTAATTTTTTTTTTTAGTTTTTATTTTATATTATCTACAAAGTAAAAGTTTTCCCTTAACTTAAAAGTTGAACCACTGTAGACAGTGATCACCTCATCGAACTTGATTTATAAATAATAATCCGTCAGTTTGACGGTAAGAATTTACTGAACCTTTGTCAAGTTTAGTAAAAGGGTGTTCCAAGTCTTGTTTTTTTTTTTTTTTTTTTTTTTTTTTTTNTTTTAAGCAGTAATAGCAGCAAGAATCACTCTTGTTACTTCTGTTGCTAGCTGATGTGTTCATGACTTTCAAGGGTTATTAAAAAATAAATAACTTCCAGTTTCGGCAAGCAGAGCTGGGGTACCTGCGGGACTTTGAAACAGCGTATGGAATTATGGAATAGCCCCAAGTTCCTAAATGCCTCTACTCGGTCCAAATATCTTCCACTGCAAGTGAACTGTTAGCATTCCTATTGGATGTTACAAGAAATCAACATATATATTTTAAAAACAAAATAAATGAAATTCTAGTTTTCTGTGCTTCCAGTTGGTAGAAGCAGTAGAAGGGAGGAGGGAATTTGGCCTTTCGGTTCCTCCAGGGCAGCCTTACAACTGCTGTTGGTGGTGGGCTTGTACTGTAAAAAGAAAAGCGAACATTGAAACAGAAAACTGGTAACACCACACATCAGCCTAGTGTCTCTGCAGCACATGATTGTAAACTATTCTTGTGCTAGCTGAACAAGACTCAAAATTGAATTCACTTCCCCCCACCTCCCGTCTGTACCAAAGGGGGAAGGGGTGGGTGGGTGGGTTGAAACAAACCGGTCAGACGTAAAACCACTTCAGATAAAACTCCCAAAAGATCTGTTCCTGGGGTAGAAAAAAAGGCCTTAACAATCCCCCTCCCCAAATATTAATCAAGCACCAGTATTGCTTTCAGAATAACAGGTCAGACTGTGAAGTATCACCATGGCACCCATCAAGTAGTAGAGCACAATCACAGGGCGCTCTCCCCGCGTCAGGGCATAGGCTGGGGCCAACGCTACACTCAAAGCCAGTCCATCCACAGCACTTTCTCAGCAGTATCTTCTCCAGAGCTACAATCAAACTCTGCCATAGTAATAACCCCCCACATGTCAGACTTTTGGGACTCAGGAAGGAAAACACTGCCCTGTCCAGCCTATCATAACAAAGAAGGCCAACTGAGTCCTAGGCATGCATCAGCTACACAGAATGCTGCTGCTGCTGCTTCTCATCAAGCCAAATCCTGTATACCAGCAGAACACACACAGACTCGGCTCCTGGAAGCCTCAGGCCCTGACGCTGAACTGATCATCACAGTCCCTCCTGCACACACTCCTGATCGGGTCTTGCTAGTTCTCAAATGCGGGGCTTGAAGCACTGGCCCTGCCTGCCATTCTACCTGTGCGAGCAGAATGCTTTGGGGTGCCCCGGCGGCCCCTGCACACACACGCCTCACCTGAAGGGTGCGTCATATAGGGGAAATGCGCTGTTGTCGAGACTGGAATGGGCTGTAGTGCACTTTGAGCGAGGGCGGCCTGGGGACCGCCGGGTGGCTGTGTCGTCATTAGCATCATTGGCGCATGGGCAGTTGGATGAGAAGGAACCATTCCTGACTGTACATGAGCCTGAAACAGAGAGCTCTTTTACGCATACAGGCAACATCGGCTTAAACAACATGTCAACTGCGTTCCTTTCACTGGGCTGGGACTCTCAGGAAAGGGCAACGGTGGGCCTCAGGGCCCAGTTCTGTTCTCAGGGACACTCTCTAGTGGACTATTTATTGACCTAAAGATGCGCTTCACCTTTGGGCAGATCCTGCAAGGGTCAGGGAGCAGGCACCAAGTGAGCCTAGGTAAAAGGGCTGTGCTGTCCTAGCCCTCGACATTTCTGATCATCGTATTCTATGTATAGGGTAAGGTCTTCACAAAGATTAGACCCCTGATCCAAGGACAGCTTTCTCAATATCATACAAGATACAGTGATGCTTTAGAATCAGGCTGCCATGTGGGGCCTGAAGTAGTTTTGCAGATAACATCCCTTTCAAATAGAAAAGCAGATTACTACATTAATAAATAGAGACTCACAGTCCAGTATGTGGATTACTTGGACCTCTCTTCATTTGCCTCTCTCCCTCTGCTTCTGGCCTGCTCACTAGGCAGTGAAAAGAGACTCTTAAGCCCCCATGACTCTCTCAGAGATATGCTGATGGAGCAGGAGGAGGAGGAGGAGTTGCAGTTTAATGGCTCCAGTGAGATGGAAAGGAGTAATCTGAAATCATCTGGGCCAGCCCAGTGTTTCTGTACCAAGCGGTAGTAAGTTCGACCTGGTCTCACTCACTGTCAAGTTGGAGAGGTAATTTTAGTCAGCCCAAACAGCTGGATTCCAGCTCTGCAGGGGGTTGGCAGGGCCAGGAAGAGCCCTTTCCTTTTTCCCACACTGTACACTGTTCTAGAGCATGATAAGCCTTGGATGAAATGCCATTTTTACTCTCATATATTCAAATGGGCACATGGGATATTTGAGCTTCCTTGTGTTAACCTTTTTGCCCTTTCAGCACAAAAACACAGTGAGGTTTTAGGGATCCCTGACTTACATGTAAGTTCACATGCCTACTTAGCCACCAGCCTCTGCTAGACACTTACAGGACCCCAGCTCATATGAAGCTGACTCCACCAAACCACGCTGGCCCACACGGACCAAACCGGCTTCCCTCCCCACTATCAAAAAGCAAATCAACTGCAGTGCGCTACACCACAGAACCTAAACTTTGCAGGGTGAGGACGCCCAAACTTCCCAGAGCTGTGGAACTCTACTTACAAGGTAGCCTTCTGAGAGATAGATCCAACTGAGTCGCATCTCTAGCCCACACCTTGCCAGAGCCTCACTGGCGCACTATTTAACAGGAAATGGAATTCATTGTGGCAGGTCTCACTTAGACCCGCCTCAGAGAGTTCTGTTATGAAAGTAGCAGAGACATCTAATACAGCCAATTCACCCATAACAGCCCCAGGAGGGCCTCAAGGCCAGCATTAGAGCCCAACTTCAGTGCAGCTCCTTCTCCTCATTAAGACAATTCCCTGGGCCCTGGAGTGCAGGGACCTTTGTCAGCAGCTGATGCAGACAGCAACCACTGAGATGGCAAGCACACCTTTCACCTGTAGCAGCTTACACTGGAGGTGAGCTCCAAAGTGCTTCCAGGGCTGCTCTTAAAAGAGAAATGGGACCACCTAGGTGCTTCCAGCTTCTAGTTACACTGCACCAATGTCCAAGGCCAAGCTCTCTCAAGAGTACAACTTATGGTCAAAGCAGATATATGGATAACCAGGGAAAACAATTGGAAAGCTGTGTCTGGAACTCATGTGAGTAACAATCAAGATGACAGGCCCCAGTAGTCACCTCGGAGGGCTGAGACTCTGTGAAGGCCATCATCCTGGCCCAGCATCCGAGGTAAGTGTGTGGAGGGGGATATTTATGTACACATATATATAGTAGGCTCTATAGACATAGCAAAGCAGACACAGAAAGGAAAGAAGAACTGGGTTGCATTCCAGAGTCAAAGATAGTTTTAAGGTCTCAGTTGGGAAAAACTAAAGGACTGACCAACCACCTTCACTGATCCCACTACAAAACCACACAAACGTTCCCTTAGGGCCAGATCACGTGTATTTGAGTGGGAAAGGGAGACAGGCAAATGGCATGACACACAGGGTTTCTTAGCTGGGAGAGCCTCTAGCTGCTTACCAATAACCTTCATATTCTACCTGGCCTTCACAGTAAGTTGGCTAAAGCTGGTTTACCTGAGGTACGTGGGCCATGTGGGGTGGATTGGTATACGCCGGCTGAACATGAGAAGGATGGATCGTAAAGACGGTCTGCTGTGCTGCTGGGAAACTATTCTGTGGCGACTGTGTGTTGGAGGCAGGTGTCATGGAGGGTGGGGTTGGCGCAAGCCCCGCGTGGTAAATGGCTGACTGCTGCTGTGGACTGGCCAGATGGAGAGCCTGGGCGGCCTGGTGCTGATGGTGCTGCAAAGCGATAGGAAAGAATTGAGAGAAAAACTTCTTTAATGAAAAGCAGCCAAGGAATACTCACAAAGCTGAGCTTTGCACATGTGGGCCTATGATGAGGGGCACGGGAAAGTACAGGGGGAATATACAGGGTGGTAAGAGCAAGGCTGGAAATGCCTCGCATCTGGACATTCCTTTCTGGGTTGCAGAAGCCTGATTCTCAGCCTGGCAGTTAGAAGCTTCTGACCATGCTAAAGTCAAACAAGACTACTGCCCCAGAGAACTGATAGATATCAGAGATCTTTAATTGCCTCTATTACCAAACATGATTCAAGAAGCTCACAAGGAAACCTTAGGAATTAAAATTTAAAATCCCAGCCAAATACTAATTACCTTATGAACTTTGTTAAATTTGATTTTGCATTAACACAAGTTTCCAGAGCTTATCCAATCACCTTATTATCATATGTATCCTTTTTTTTTTTTTTTTTTTTTTTTTTTTTTTTTTTTTTTTTTTTTTTTTTTTTTTTTTGAGACGGGGTTTCACCATGTTGGTCAGACTGGTCTCGAACTGTTGACCTCAGGTAATCCACCCGCCTCGGCCTCCCAAAGTGCTGGGATTACAGGCGTGAGCCACGGCACCCAGCCTTATCATATGTATTTTAAATGTGATTCTTAAAAAAGCAACCACACCAGGGGCACAGCTGTATCCAGCTTCATGAGGGCGGACGTGCTATGTGTTCTTATGACACGATACCTGACACCAGAAATCAGATACTAGGATGAGGAAGCAGCTCCATGCAGATCTCTGAGGTGCCCTTACCTGAACAGGACTGGGTGCAGGATGACTTCCACCATGTTGGCTTTGCTGCTGTCCAGTGGGGGTAGCTGAAGGCTGAGGGTGTGGAGTATGTGGGTGCAGGGTAGCATTAGGGTGCGCATACTGCTGAGCAAGGGAGCCCGTGGAAACTACAGTGAAAGAAAAAGGAGCATGTACACAACCAATGTGTGAAAACCTCCATGGCTCCTCTATGCCTCATCAACTGAACTTTCTTGATGGTTACAATGCATAACTCACACCACTACCAATTTCTATAGTAGACTCCATTTAAACCATGCATTGTCTTGAAAAATAAGTGTAGCTATTGCTTAACAGACTAGCATTTGGTTCATATAATACAGCTCTACATATGATATTAAAATCAAATTAGTTTGCATTTGCTCTTAAAACAGTCACTAGGTTTTCCCAAAAAGGCAACCTGAAAGCACAGGCAGACACTACTCAAACAAGCGCCATCTAGGCATGCGCTCTTTAGCTCAAGGCCATCATCTGGCTAACCTCACCATGCTACTGCCCTGGAGCAATGTCCTAAAGGCACATACTATATTGGGTGGGGTGGGGTGGGGTGGGGAGGCCAGTGCTGTGTTAAGGGACCTGGCAAGACCAGGGATCTATCATCAGAGCAAAGGACCACAATCTCTCTCAGCCAATCATAGGAGCCCCTCTGACACTCAGTTCACTTCCTTGCTTCATAAAATAAATACAGAAAGGAAACTCCCTTCTGAGTGCTGCAGCCCTTTAGAAAAAATTTTACTAGAATAACTTCAAAGGAAACATGATGCCCCAGTTTAAGTCAAAATAAAGATAAGAACTCAAAGCCAATTCTTTGTGAATCTCAGCATGGGCCACACCTTGGCACAAAACCATTTCTTCAGGTCTCTCTTTTTTTTCTTTTTCTTTTTTTTTTTGAGATGTAGTCTCATTCTGTTTCCCAGGCTTACTGCAACCTCCACCTCCTGGGTTCAAGTGATTTTCCTGCCTCAGCCTCCCAAGTAGCTGAGATTACAGGCACGCGCCACCATGCCCGGCTAATTTTTGTATTTTTAGTAGAGATGGGGTTTCGCCATGCTGGTCAGTCTGGTCTCAAACTCCTGACCTCAAGTGATCTGCCCACCTCAGCTTCCCAAAGTGCTGGGACTACAGGCGTGAGCCACCATGCCTGACCTGTTAATGTGTTTCAAAAACAGTAAGTTAAGAATCAGAAGCATGGTAGGATGTGTTCACTACTTCCAGTGACTATGGACAACACACTATGATACAAATCTAACCTGCACGTGGCTATGAGCCACATGTTCTCACAGAGTGTTCTCAAGACAACTCTGGCAAGGCATGATTCCCAGCCCTCTTGAGAAATGAATTCTAAAATCCGTTAAGATAATTACCCCATACGCAGAAATGATTCCAAAATAGTTCCTCACGTTCTTCATATAACGTGTTAGCAAACACAGACTTATGCAGGACTGACTGGGGACAGAAGCAAGCACAGCTTTGGGACCAGGCGCCCTAGCTCCAGCAGTCTGGTAGGCAAGGCTGCTGAGTCATCAGCATAGATGACTCTGGGTATATCCCATGTAAATGGTGTGCAGACGGTTAGGCTAGGCAGATGGAGCAGTTCTATAATGCTAGGTGTGGCAGGGCTAAGGGCCACCAACACTCCAGCCCAAACAGTTATGTCTCCAGTTGCAAATCTCTCTCTTAGCAGAGGAGAGGGCCAGGCAAACAGCCAGTTCTGGGATCACCTGTGCATCCACTGCCAATGCCACAGCTGTCAGAAGTATTCTTTCATGCCCAGTTTAGACTGAATAAAGCAGTTTTGTTTATACACTGGAAAAAAATTTTCCAGACTGCGGGAATTAACATATGCCAGAACATTTTAACGAGAAAACTGTGGCAACATATTCTCTGAATGTTTTTAAGAGTAGTGAATGTCTTCTGGGAGCTGGAACAAACGATGTACAACTGACTTCCTGAGCTTCAAAGTCTCATGAGTCTATGAAGACAGTCCTTTTCTCCTAACTCGCTGGCTTATTAACAGGCCCTCCATCATCATCATACTCATTAAGTTTACTTGCAGCTCCCCCAAATTGTATAGGCGCTGACTTGGTCTAAAAGAACATCTGATGTAAATTTTGAAACTGAGTTTTGCTTGTTCTTGTAAAAATCTTACATTCATTTTTAAAATGCATTTGTTTGTTTTTATTTTATTTTTGACATAGCCTTACTCTGTCACCCAGGCTGGAATGCAGTGGCACAAGCTCGACTCACTGCAACCTCTGCCTCCTGGGTTCAAGCAATTCTCCTGCCTCAGCCTCCTGAGAAGCTGGGATTACACGAATGCACCACCACACCCAGCTGATCTTTGTATTTTTAGTAGAGACGGGGTTTCACCGTGTTGGCCAGACTGGTCTTGAACTCCCGGCCTCAAGTGATCCACCCACCTTGCCCTACCAAAGTGTTGGGATTATAGACATGAACCACTTCACCTGGCCTAAAAATTTATTTTTGAAGAATAAAAAAGCCACATGTAGCTAAGTAGCTACTATGTTGGACAGCACACTTTTTTTCTCACTCTGTTGCCAGGCTGACGTGCAGTGGAGCGATCTCTGCTCACTGCAACCTCTGTCTCCTGGGTTCAAGTAATTCTCCTGTCTCAGCTTCACAAGTAGCTGGGACTACAGGCACCCACCACCGCACCCAGCTAATTTATTTGTATTTTTAGTAGAGACAGGGTTTCACCATGTTTGTCAGGCTGGCCTCAAACTCCTGACTCAGGCAATGTGGCTGCCTCAGCCTCCCAAAGTGCTGGGATTAGAGGGGTGAGCCACTGTGCCCAGCCAACAGCGCAGTTTTTGTAGCACATTTCCATCATCACAAAAAGTTCTATTGGATGGTGATGTCTACAGTTATCATGGTCCCTTACTGTTAAACCATTAGCACTAACCCCTACCCCCACCCCTAGCCTCTTAAAAATGTCATTTGTAGCAATATTAAATCTGTCTAAGGAAAAGCAAATCCCAAATTCTATTCATGGGGATTCATAAAGATAAGAGTACGAAATCTCAGAGGGTTTTTTTTAAAACTTTATTTATTCAAGAAATTTTGCACTAAAAAGTTTTAAATTTCACTTTTAATTACCTTCTAAGCAAAGTATTAAGAATATTAAAAAGTAACAATAAATATGGAGAATTATTATGCCCATGAAGTCTCATAATTAAGTTATTCATCAACTGGAAAAAATGTAAAAATCTTGAAATCATTTGATGAAAAAAAAAAAAAGATTAAAAAAAGATGAAATATTTTTACTATGCATTTTTAAAAGGCATCTCTGCGATTTAAGTTTACCAGTATTTAAAGACTATAATACAGTGTTCTGATCTATAGCTAATTTGCATGCATAGCACAAATCCCAAGATGAGTGAATGTACACATGGGCTTTGTTTAAAAAATATATATATATCCTTTCCCTACATAAAACTTAAGTAGCCTTCATAAAATCTTTTGGATTAAAGATAATCAAAGATGCATTGCTTCTTTGGGCCGGACCTAGTCCAGAAGTTTCCCACTGAGTGTTCCCTGATATAAATATTTATGATTCTAAACATGTGATCAGTCAAATCCTTAATAACACTAACCACATTCCAAAACTAGTTTCCTCAGCCATGATCTCACGGAAACAAATTCAGTATATAAAGCTGTGTTTAATTTGTAACTAGGTTTTGTCATTTTGACTTTGGATGCACAAGTCATAAGAAATCACCAGCATTGCAAAACTTGAAAAGTAAAACAAAACAAAATCTTCCAACTTGTAAATTTGATATTAAATTCAGAAAAAGGGAAGTGAAGGAAAGTTGAAAACTCGAGGGAATAAAAGGCAACCTGACCAAACCATGACAAAATGGCTTAGAACAGGGGAAAATGAAGCAGCAAATTAAATTAGTAGCCCAACTGTTAGTTTCTTTAAAAAAAAATACTGATAACTCCCTTTTAGGGAAAGTTGTGCTAAAGCAATTAAGACTTAGGTGAAATGATTAAAGGCCTTTTAGCTACTTACCAGGAAAATGACACCAAACTACTAACAGAGACAGTAAGATGGTGAGGATAACTACATTTGAGACTTCAAATTAAATACATAATAAAATCACCCACTGACACTATCTTTTACACACTACAATCACAGACATAGTTTCCCCTTTAAGAGTATATACATACAGCAAGACTCCTTTTTAAAGAGCATCTATTAAAGGATTACATTTAACATCTCCTAGCACCAAATAAATTTTTATATATACGTATCAGCTTATTTTTGGATACCAAGTCATGGTATAATTAACGAAAATTTAAGGTCAAATGCATTTTAAATGCTAATATGGCATTTAGTAGAGTCAGACATTGAGCCACCCCAAAATAACTCAAAATGTTGTCCCTAACATAAAATTTGAATACTTAATATCTTCTAGAATACAATGTTTCATACAAGGTGACAAATATTAATGCCACAAATTTCTAAAGGATTTCTACAAATATTAGTACTCTTCCTATTAAAATACCAAAGTCCATGACTAGCCTTATTTTTGTTTTTATTTTTTACTTTGAGACGGTCTTTCTCTGTTGCCCAGGCTGGAGTGCAGTGGAGTGATCTTGGCTTACTACAACCTCCGCCTCCAGGATTCATGGAATTCTTGTGCCTCAGCCTCCCAAGTAGCTGGGACTACAGGTGCACGTCACCATGCTTTTTGTAGAGACAGGGTTTCACCATGTTGGCCAGGCTGTTCTTGAACTCCTGGCCTCAAGTGATCCACCTACCTCGGCCTCCCAAAGTGCTGGAATTACAGGCGTGAGCTACCACGTCCGGCCCTTATTTTTAAAAATTGTCCTACAAATAGGAAAAATACACCTTACAAGTTTTCCTTTCCGAAAGAGAGCTCTGCCCAGACTTTCTCCATGAAGGAGCAACCATTTCTGTACTTTTTGCCAGGTGGGAAGAGGAGACTTGTGCTGTCCAAGACAATGACCTGAGAGGTCATGCTCTCTTGATTAAGCTCAAGACATCCTGAGGGGACTGCCTCCTGAATATTTTATTTTTTGAGACAGAGTCTTGCTCTGCCACCCAGGCTGGAGTAAAGTGGCATGACCTTGGCTCACTGCAACCTTGGCCTCCGGGGTTCAAGCGATTCTCCTGCCTCAGCCTCCCGAGTAGCTGGGACTACAGGCACTCACCACCATGCCTGGCTAATTTTTGTATTTTTTAGTAGAGATGGAGTTTCAACATGTTGGCTAGGCTGGTCTTGAACTCCTGATCTCAGATGATCTGCCCGCCTCAGCCTCCCAAATTGCTGGGATTACAGATGTGAGCCACTGTGCCTGGCCCCTCCTGAATATTTTAAACTTTTAGCTATGCACAAGGCAGAAAGGTTTTTCCCTTAGTATTTCATCAGTTCTATTCAATTAAAAATCTTGGTAGGCATAAATTTCTTCTTATCAGGATATAAATAAACATTTTAAGTTTATACGAAGCTTGTGGCTTTGGGGGTGTGTGTGTGTATGTACATATATATATATATATGGCTGTTCAGGAAAAGCTTCTCTAAACCAGAAAAATATTAGGCATTTCCCAGTCACATTCACTTGGTATGCAAAAATTGATTTCTTGCAGCTTGGGGGGGGGTGTGTCTGTGTGTGTATATGTACATATATATATATAATGCTGTTCAGGTAAAGTTTCTCTGAACAAGCAAAATATTAAGCATTTCCTAGTCACATTTGCTTGGTATGCAAAAATTGATTTCTGAAACAACTGCATTTTCCATTAACTCCAGCCTTCTTAAACTGGATATTTCCATTTTAAAAACTGAATTATTTATAGATATAAATACTTTCAATAATTTGACTGACACAAGGAAAATACTGTTCAACAAGACTATCCCTTAACATGTATTCTTTAAAAAGTGTTTTACTGTACAATTAAAAATTAGTATAAAAAACCCAACTCACTGGCAAAGTAGAAAGAAGGGCTTGTCTCCTTGTTGTATGGTAATTTGGGACATGCTGAATTTGGAAAATAGAAAGGTAAATTAGCCTTTTGAGGTGTGCATTTTCCAAATTTTCTGGAAAGGTTGACATATTAGTACTTTCTTTCTGTATTCATGCATAATTCATTTTTATTTTATAAAAGATGATGAGCACCTTAAACACTGCTACAGAATTTTAAAAAATAGGACTAAGCCGGAAGACACTGTTCTTCTGTACTTAGGTGTCAAGTTGTCATGCTGACTTGCTTAAAAGTGAAAGGAATAAAATCATTATCTAATAAAAAGACCAACATGGCATTCTACTGAACAACCTTGATATAAATCATGTACCAAAATGAAACAATATTTACCAAGTTTAATTCAATAGACACACAATTTTGCAAAACATTACTAATGGAAATGTCATTATCCTGAAAGATTATCTGGTGATGGATCCAAAAATTTAAAAACATAGCAAGAATATAAACATGAATTTTATCATTTCTTATCAAAACATGTCTACATAAAGGAGTATATGGGTATATTTAAATACACCTGGAAGCATACACACCAAAATGTTAAAAGGCAGATATCAGGTGGAGGGATAATGGGTGCTTTTCATTTTTTTTTGTTGTTGTTTTCGTTTTTTTTTTTTTTTTTTTTTTTTTTTTTTTTTTTTTTTTTTTTTTTTTTTAACTCTGTTAGTCACGCTGGAACGCAATGGCATGAGTGTGGCTGCCTGGAGCTCCCACTGCCAGAGCTAGAGCTGTGTGTGATGAATGTCTGCAGTAGCAAATATGATTCACTGGGGTCTGATTGTTTTAACTTACTGTATTTTCTTACTTATCTGCATTAAACTACCAAAAACAAACCAAAAAAGGATTCTGGATCTAACTCTCCCTAATGGCTCTAGTTAGTAGGAAAGGTTGTTTTATTTTTGTTTCTGAAAGGTAAAAGCATCACCATAAAACAAAATTAGATGGATTAGAAGAGTAGATGTGAGGCCGGATGCAGTGGCTCACACCTGTAATCCTAGCACTTTGGGAGGCCAAGGTGGGCAGATCACGAGGTCAGGAGTTCAAGACCACCCCTGCCAACAAAGTGAAATCCCATCTCTCCTAAAAATACAAAAATTAGGCCAGGCATCCCAGTACTTTGGGAGGCCGAAGCAGGCGGATCATGAGGTCAGGAGTTAGAGATCAGTCTGGCCAACATGATGAAACCCCGCCTCTACTAAAAATACAAAAATTAGCTAGGTGTGGTGGCGCACACCTGCAGTCCCGGCTATTCGGGAGGCTGAGGCAGAAGAACTGTTTGAACCTGGGAGGCGGAGGTTGCAGTGAGCCAAGATCACGCCACAGCACTCCAGCCTAGAGACAGAGCAAAACTTCATCTCAAAAAAAAGAAAGAAAGAAAGAAAGAAATTAGCCAGGTGTGGTGATGCATGCCTGTAGTCCCAGCTACTCAGGAGGCTGAGGCAGAAGAATCACTTGATCCTGGGAGGCAGAGGTTGCAGTAAGCTGAGATCATGCCACGGCATGGGCAACAGAGCAAGACTCCATCTCCAAAAAAAACAAAAAAAGAAGAAGAGCATATGTGAGGAAAACAAAATTAAAGTAACTTCTTAGAAGGGATGGGATGGAGACAATCATGAAAGTTAGATTAAGGTAAAAGAGATGAGGTTTGTAACAAAAGCCCTTTCTAAGATAGCTAGAAAGAGTACAAGGTCAATAATTATTTAGAATGTACACATCTCTTATTTTATCAATTTAACTGTTCAGTAATGTTAGCATATTTGTATTAAACATACTACAAATTTTAAAACAATAATGAGAATTTCAATTTGCAGTCATTAGTGGTCCTATGTTTTTAATATCTTTGGCTATGGTCATAACAATTAATGAATGAGAAAAGGTGACATAAAATTGTCACCAATATCTGGATGCATGTTCTTCTGTTTGCATTAAATGTTTTAAAAACCTGGATATGATGTAGCTTAAAAAGAAAAGCACGATTCATACTCAAAGTATTTGGTACCTTTGAGAGAACTTATGGCAATATATTTAATAAATATATTTATAAAATATAAATTGTTCAGGGAAGATGAGTATAAAATTAACACTTCTATGTAAGTTTGTTGTAGTTTATAAGAATGTACTTTAAATTTTGTTTATATTTGACATAAGACTTTGAAAGTCTAATAATAATTCAAATAAATCACTTAAGATTTAGTGAAAAACGTGGTTTAGCAGATTAAATTATGGCTTATGATGGCATAGAACAAAATAATTTTTCCTCATATTTTGTTTAAATAAGAGACAGGGTCTTGCTCTGTAACCCAGGCTGGATTACTGGTACCATCATAGCTCATGGCAGCCTCAAAGTCCTGGGCTCAAGTGATCCTCCCATCTTGGCCTCCTGTGTAGCTGGGACTACAGGCACATGCCACCATGACTGGATTTTTTTTTTTTTTTTTTTTTTTTTAAATAGATGGGATCTTGCCATCTTGCCTAGACTGGTCTTGAACATCTGGGCTAACCAATCCTCTTTCTCGGTCTCCCCAAATGCTTGAATTACAGGTGTGAGCCACCATGCCCAGCTCCTAGCACCCTTTTTAGGGTCTGAAGTACCCCCAAGGGAATCTTGATTAGTGACGATCACACCAAGTGCACAGCTTTGCCCCTAGTCTGCCTCCTTACAGACAGCAATTAAATACCACCTGTGTAAACTGCAGGAGAGTAATTCTGATTTGGCTGAGTAACTTTCTCTTGGCATGAAAGAACTGGCTTTGATGACTAGTTCATTCCAGATTTCACTGGACATTAGATCTAGTGCTTTGTTTTGTTTGCAATATTTCCTATTTATCCACGCATGAATGCACTTTGGGGTTCAAGACCCACTGCTCTTCAAATGGACATGTTCTGGGAAGTTGTTATGAAAATCATCAGTGCCTCAAACAGTATTTATCATATAGGCTGTTTCAAAACCAATGAACATTCATCCAAAAGATGAAGCCAGATATTGGCAGTGAATAAACACAATGGGGAGAAAGATTCTGCTCAACATTATCGTATTATTGCTACAGTGTCTCAAAATCATGGATACCCAAATAGGGAAATTTTAGCTCAAGAGTTTCAGATCTTATTCCAAAGGGAATATGCCAGAAAATGGAAGGAAAGGGATGTTTTTTCCACTTGTTAAATCATGATGTATTCACCAGGAAAGTATAAATAATCATAATGAACTTTTAATCTAAGACTTTAGCAAACTGGAAAACTGTTAAAATATATACAAAAGTTACATAAAAGCCAGCGTGATGACTGAATCGTGCCTTTTCATGCATATTCAGTCCTGGTTAAGACAACTAAAGACAAGCCAAATGACAGGAGATCATAACCCAAATAATAAACCAAGTCAGTTTGTCAGTATCTTTTTCAATTAAATTACAGATGAGCTTCTTGAAAAAAATGTTTTCCAAAACATAGCAATCACACAATTTTTTATTTAAAATGCATAATCCACAATAAAAAGTTGAAAGTGATAATGTGGAAAATTAAGACTGGACTTATAAAACTAAACACCTTTAATCATGTACAAATTCCTATCAGAGGTGAGACTTTGTGGCAGACAAAAGCCTTCGGGAAGAAAGCATAAGCTCTGGGTTACAGGTAACAGGAAGGATGACTGTTGCTGCCCAGGTCCTATTCTCATTAACCTACAGAATGTTAAAACTTTTATTCTTCAAAAAGGACAGAGATGATATGAAAAGCAGTGATGTCTCAAGAAGATGGTTTGCCAGAAATCTGTAAATATATATATATTTTTTTTGAGACAGAGTCTCAGTCTGTTACACAGGCTGGAGTGCAGTGGCGCAATCTCGGCTCACTGCAACCTCTGCCTCCTGGGGTCAAGCAATTCTCCTGCCTCAGCCTCCCGAGTAGCTGGGATTAAAGGTGCCTGCCACTGTGTCTGGCTAATTTTTGTATTTTTAATAGAGATGGGGTTTCACCATGTTGGCCAGGCTGGTCTTGAACTCCTGATCTCAGGTGATCTGCCCACCTTGGCCTCCCAAAGTGCTGGGATTACAGGTGTAAACCAACACGCCCAGCCTGAAATCTGTAAATTCTTAAATAACTCAATTTTGCCTAGACATACTCATTCAGGACACCTAAACTTAAAAAATAAACATTTTATATTCTCAGTATTTAAAAAAGTTTAAAGAGGCTTTAAAAATGAAATGTCCATGTAGTTGCATGTAACCATAATTTCATTTTTCATAGCAGTACACTTTTCAATTGCATGAATAAACCAAAATTTGTCCCCTACTCCAAAAAAACAAAAATGCAAATAGGAAAACTAAATAACACTACAGGAATTATCAGAAACATTTAAAACAAAACATCTTAATGAAATCAGTACTATTTAAAAGTGTATTCTGAAAAACATTTGAAGCAATCCATTAATTCTATATTATAAGATACACAAGTGGACATTTTATTTTAAATTATCAACAATGAAAATCTATTATTTTGGTACTTTAAACAGCTGCTAAGTTGATCTACACAAAGTTCTCTGTTTAGTCACAAAACAAAGATGGGGTTTTTGCTTATTATTCTCACATATAAATACTGCTTAGTTTTACATAAAATACTTCTCATTTTCATTTCAGCATTCTGTTTACATTGGTTATATTTAAAGTGTGAATCATGTCTAAAATAGATCTAATATTACACAATTTCAACCACTTAAAATACAGCATGATATAGAAGCATAGCATTATCATTATAACAAACAGCAAAAAAAATATGTATTGCCAGTGACCCTCAGAGCAAGTAGGGAAGCAGAATGTTTTCATGCCGGAGAACACTTTTATGTTTTTATCATGATAAAATTATCTTGCATGCCATAGGCAGGATATACCAAATCATAATACTGATGAGGAAGAGGAGAAAGGTACCTTTCTCCACAAAGATGGTTTGCCGTTATATACATCATTATATTTTAGTTAAAGTAGGAGAGAGATCTGAAGACCAGGTACAGAAGTAGAAACTATTTGCCAAAACTTGTAAAGCAAGTCAGGGAGAGAAATAGGTTCATCTTTTCCTTTAGATTCTTGGCCCTCAATGTCATAAAAGGTCAGGTTATTCTTAGAGTATGTTTTCAGAAATTTAAAACAAATTAAGAGTCACACGCACTGGAAGAGACAAACAAAGTGCTTCCTACCATACATCGCATGCGTCTGCTCATGAGCCCCGTACTGAGTTGCTGAAGAAGATACTAAGCCAGGCTGGGCATGTGTTGGTGGTGCCATCATTCTAGCATTACCCTGTATTACAGGACTATAGACATGAGGATGCTGTGTTCAAACAAAAAATAAAGAAAGAACATTAACACTGCAAATAGAGCCAAGCAGACTTTAGTTAAGATTTTTAACTCCATGGTTTCCAGATTATCAGAAACAACTGTAAACTCTCAACTTTTTCTTGGCTGCTTCCTTTGAAACTCTTACAATGATCAGTAACCTTTGAATATGTATTAAAAAGGGTTCCCAAATCCTTAGCTATCTACCCTACCATCACACAGAAGCGAAAATTATAAAGGAAAACCCCTTTACCATATTAAAAGTTTTTTTTAAATGGTACAAAAATTAAGAGTTAGCCCCTACCAGCCTTACCTGAGACTGATAATGTGGCACATGCTGAACAAGGGGCTGATTTGGGAACTGCTGAGGACTGTAGGCAACATATTGCGTGGAGTAAGCTGGTGGGGTGGCTGCAATCGGTGGGCCTGCTGCTGACGCTGGGTGCATCATGGCACTCTGATGATGCTGGTCTTGCCGCTGTTGGGGCATATTTGGTACTGCAGAAAAAAAAGATGACTGCCTATCAAACAGTATCTCCACAGCATAATACATGTTTTCACATGGTCTAGGAGGTTCTGCATGATTTGACCCTGCAGCTGTGTCTCTGATGCTGTGTGATACCACTCCCACTTCTGCCATTCTGGGTTGTTTTCCTATCATGCATGCTAGTCCTCAGCCTCAAACACCAGTCCCTAATCCCAGCTGCGATACTTCTGCCTCATCCTCCAGGTGTCAGCTTGAAAGCAACTTCCTCAGAGAGACTTTCTCTCATGGCCCTCAGACTTAAGCCCCTGTATCAGACTCTCACAGCATTATGAAATCACTTTTCCTTCATACCACTTCTCATATGGTATTTGCTGGGATGGGCACTGTGTTCATTTTGAGAAAAATAAAAGCATGACCAAAGAACCAAAATAGATAAAAAATAAAATCCCTTATTTCCTACCACTGGATTCTTGTAACGTTTCCCATTCTTTCTCCAACCCAGTATAACACAACACCATGTAGCATATTGCAGGTTTCTAAATAGTTCTTTTCAAAGACACTCTATGTCTTGTCTTAATCCACACAGGAGGTCAGCATGTAAGGTCCTCTCCCTGTTACAACTCTAGTTAAGAATTCAGCTCAACTGTTGTCTGTCTCCCATGTGAGGTTTTTCCCAGTTCCTCCAGCACAAGCTAGCTGCTTCCCCTGTGCCTTTCCTCACACATCTCTTACAACACTATTGTCTGTGATCTGTCTCCGGTGTGGCATTAACCAATCCACTTCAGGAAAAGAATTGTGGAATGACTGCTTACAACTAGGTATAAGGCACAAAGAATATAGAACTTGGTGTGTTTATAAAATCATAAGAACTGATTATATAAGTAACTGCAAATTTGTGGCTAAACAGTCACAGACTTGCTGAAATTTGGGAGAGCTAGTCACATATTACTTTATGTAGAAAAGCAAAACTGAAAAAAATTTTTCTTACTCTTTATTATTTTTTTTCTCGCTCTCCCTCCCTCAAAAATTTTTTCTCTATTTAATCTTGCATGTACGTATTTAAAAAGCGCCTCCTTTTGGTAAACAAAAAGCCACTGAAAACTTGTATCACTTTTATAAAACGAAAGTTTGTCCAATTATGCTCACTAACTGAGATTAAACTATTCATTATTATTACTTTGTTACTTATTACCTTCCTGCATATTTAAAAAATAATAAAAAAGCTAGTCAAGCATACTATGGTACTATTGTTTGGGTATCATGTGTTCGTCTCCACCAATTCTCATGTTAAAATTTGATCCCGGGGCCAGGCGCAGTGGCTCACACTTATAAATTACTGCACTTTGGGAGGTCAAGGTAGGCAGACTGCTTGAGCCCAGGAGTTTGAGACCAGCCTGGGCAACATGGGGATACCCTGTCTCCACAAAAAAATATATAAAAATATTAGCCAGCAGTGGTGGTGTACATCTATGGTCCCAGCTACTCAGCAGGTTGAGGTGGGAGGAACACTTGAGCCAGGGAGGTAGATGCTGCAGTGAGCCATAAATTATACCACTCCACTCCAGCCTGGGCTTGGTTTCTTTTCCTCCCTCCCCTCCCCCTGTCTCAAAAAAGGGGAGGGGAGGGAGGAAAAGAAACCAAGCCCTTGACTTTGCCTGTTATTTGAAAAATGTTAAAAATATCTTTATCCAACACCTCAAGGAATGGAATTTAGTAAAGGAGCAGGGTGAAAACTAACATACAGACAGCAATAGCCTTCATATATGGTACTTTATACTTACTTCATAAGTAATTACTTAAAGATGCAATGGAAGAGAAGTCCCTGAGTTACATTAACACTAAAAAAAGAACATACCTAAGGCATACACTGAAAAAAATGCACAAAACCTTGTAAGGATAAACTTTATGTTTATTTACTTATTTTCTTTGAGACACAATCTCACTGGGTCGCCCAAGCTAAACTGCAGTGGTGTGATCTTGACTTACTGCAATCTCTGCCTCCCAGGTTCAAGTGATTCTCCTATCCCAGCCTCCAGAGTAGCCAGGACTACAGGTACACACCAAGACGCCTGGCTAATATTTTTCTTGTATTCTTAGTAGAGATGGGGTTTTACCAATGTTCGTCAGGCTGCTGTTGAACTCCTGACTTCAGGTGATCTGCCCACCTCCGCCTCCCAAAGTGTTGGAAATACAAGTGTGAGCCACTGTGCCCAGCCAAGGATAAACTTTAATAGGCTACTGAAGATATACTTTGAAGACTCAACATCATAAAGATATCAATCATTTCTTCTCAAGTTAATTTGTAAGTTTATTGTGATTCTGGACTGCCATGGTAGCTCATGCCTGTAGTCCCACCACTTTGTGAGGCTGATGCAGGCAGACTGCTTGAGCTCAGGAGTTCAAGACCAGCCTGGGCAACATGGTGAAACTCTGTCTCTACAAAAAATACAAAAATTAAGCCAAGCACAGTGGTGCTCTCCTGTAGTCCCAGCTACTTGGGAGGCTGAGGTGGGGGTATTGCCTAAACCAGAGAAGTCGAGGCTACAGGATGCCCAGATCATGCCACTGTACTCCAGTCTAGGTAACAGAGCCAGACCCTGTCTCTAAATAGTTAAGAAGAAGTACAAGTTTATACTGATTAAGAATAAAGAACAACAAAAAACCACCTCATTGATTACCTTTGGAGGGTAATAGAAAACCAACTCATTATTTTGAAGACTGCCTTAAAAACGGAAATTATGAGCATTTTAAATGGCCTATCCTGAGAAAGCTTGTAACCAAATAGCTGGACATGGTAACATTTCTCTTCCTTTTTTTTTTTTTTTTTTTAAAGAGTTTCACTCTTACTGCCCAGACTGGAGCACAATGGTATGATCTCGGCTCACAGCAACCCTGCCTCCTGGGTCCAAGAGATTCTCCTGCCTCAGCCTCTTGAGTAGCTGGGATTACAGGCATGCCCCACCACACCTGGCTAATTTTGTATTTTTAGTCGAGACAGGGTTTCTCCATGTTGGTCAGGCTGGTCTCGAACTCCTGACCTCAGGTGATCCACCACCTCAGCCTCCCAAAGTGCTAGGATTACCGGCGTGAGCCACAGTGCCAAGTGTTTCTTTATAAAAGTATTCCAGGTAATAACTGAAGAAGGGATGAAAGAAAAAGAATGTCACCATTTTGCAACCCCCGAGGAAATAATGGATCTTGGGCTAGACAATTATCATCAATGGCTGCTTAAAAAGAAAAAAAAAAAAGTAAGATGCTAAAGGGAAATATTATTTCTTGGACAGATAAAACTTCTAAGAACTCACCAGTGTTCCTATCAGGAAAAAGACTAATTACACTATATGACTCCTCATGAAAGTACATACATCTGTGAAACATTGAAAAAAAATACAATCCAATCTTACCAAGCCTCCATTATCTACTATCAGTTTACAAAGATGGCAGAGGACAGAAGTCTACTTTAAATATCAGCACAGGGATATAGTCAGCAAAATTCAGATGGTGGGAAAAAATAAAAGATAAGCTGGATTGTACAAAGATATGAAGAGGACAAAAACTAGGGGGAAAACTAATTAAAACTATGAGAGCTGGGTACAGTGGCTCATGCCTGTAATCCTGGTACTTTGGGAGGCCAAGAAAGGGCAGACTGCTTGAGCTCAGGAATTCGAAACCCTGTCTCTACAGAAAATACAAAAATTAGCCAGGTATGGTGGCATGCACCTTTAGTCCCAGCTACTTGGGAGGTTGAGGTGGGAGGATTACCTGAGCCCAAGAGGTTGAGACTGCACTGAGCTGAGATCATGCCACTGCACTCCAGCTTGGGTCACAGTTAAGACTCTGTCTCAAAAAACAAACGAAACCAAACCAAACCAAACCTATGACTTCGCTGGGTGCAGTGGCTCATGCCTAGTACTTTAGGATGCTGAGATGGAAAGATAACTTAAGCCCTGTAATCCTACTACTTTAGGACGCTGAGATGGAAAGATAACTTAAGCCCGGAGTTTAGGATAAGCCTGGGCAAAAGGGCAAGACTGTCTCAAAAAAAAAAGAAGAAAGGGAAAAAAAGGGAAAGGGGGAGGGGGAGGGAAGAGCAGAGCAGCACAATGAAGAAAGAGCAGGCAAGGTGGCATGTGCCTGTAGTCATAGCTACTCAAGATGCTGAGGCAGCAGTGAGCTATGATTGCACTCCTGCACTCCAAGCCAGGGCAACAAAGCGAGACCCCATCTCAAAAACAAAAAACAAAACCAAAAACGACTTAAAGATACACACTAAAATGTTGGTGGATAAACTAATGAAATTGCATTTGCTTCAAAATAATCCAGTGGACATAGAGCTTAAGAGACAATGGGTAGAAATGAAACATGAGTGGCCTAGGTTATTAATGTCTCAATATTTGCATAATAAAAAGTTACCACAAAGCTGGGAGTGGTGGCTCACACCTGTAATCCCAGCATTTTGGGAGGCCAAGGCAGGCAGATCATTTGAGGTCAGGAGTCTAAGACCAGCCTGGCCAACATGGTGAAATCCTGTATCTATTAAAAATACGAAAGTTAGCTGGGCATGGTGGCACACACCTGTAGTCCCAGCTACTTGAAAGAGAGAGGCAGGAGAGTTGCTTGAACCCCAGAGGCGGAGGTTGTAGTGAGTCAAGACTGTGCCACTGCACTCCAGCCTGGGTGACACAGCAAGACTCCATTTCAAAACAGAACAAAACAAAACAGCTACCACAATATGAAACAATTTTAAAAAATGACTTCAACAAGGCCGGGCGCGGTGGCTCAAGCCTGTAATCCCAGCACTGTGGGAGGCCGAGGCGGGTGGATCACGAGGTCAAGAGATC